GTAGGGAATAACCTGGCTCCAGCACTTGTGTCCGCCCCTTGGTGGATGGATAAGGCAGAGACGTGCAATTGTGAGGCCTGGGTGGGTACCTATCCGATTGGCATCCGTACAATTATCCCAGGAACTGGGCTCGGGGTTAAGCCAGTTCAGATGAACCCAGTAAGTCTCTCCTTTTCCCAAGCAGGAGACAGAAGGCAGAGGAGCAGCTGACAGATGGGACCAGCCGTAGTGTTATCCTGAATTTAAGCACCCTAAAGTCAATGGGGGCCTCACCGCTGACTTGAGTAGTTCTAGATCCTCCTCCACTAAGGGGGAAGCTGTGCTGGTGCCAGCCAGGGCTTAAATGTATCCCAGCTAGAACGTGCTGCGTTTCATTGATGGCTCTGAGGAACGCTCACAACAGAGCCCAGAAGCTCCTATGTTTGAAATGATATGTGCCACCCTTAATCTAGCAGGGAGTCTAGCTGTAATGGAGGGCACGTCTGCACCACGACAGCTGGAGACCGAGATGCATTCACAGCTCGTGCATGTGAGTGGGAGGGGTTGGCAGGGCACACCGGGGGCATCTCTGCCAGGACACAATACCACTGCCGTGCAGATGAAACCACAGATGCTGGACCACGGGATGTCCAGGCATGTTTCATTCCTGCCAGTTCCCGATTTCTTTTTTTTCTCTGCAGCAGGTAAGTTTACCGACTGCCACTTGAGAAGCCATTCACCCATTACAAAGTACAAGCATAAAACCAAATCACAGAGCTGGGCCTGACTGGCTGGACAGATAAAATTTGTATTTGCAATGCTGATCTGAAATGCCTCCCTGTAGAATTCAGGTGTTTTCCTCAGTGATGTTCCCAAGGCCAAACAGTAATGGTCAGCAAAGGAAAGCTGTGGCACCTGCAGACAGAAATTGCACCGGTGACAGCTGCAAGGTGAATTCACACTCAGGCCCCAGCAAAGCCCAGCGAGGACAATAGAAAGGCTCCAGCTGCCCCAGTGGGTTCTGGATCAGGCCGTCAGTTTGTACAGTTTGTTGCCATGCTACAGAAATGTTTCTGTCCTTTAAACTTCTTGCAGGGGGCTGGACCCGATGATCTCACGAGGCCCCTTCCAGCCCCAAACTGCTGTGAATCTGGTCATTTTCACAAGAACCCTCCCCAGAGCAAAAATCCACAGGGTCAAGCAGGGATGCCTACTTTGTTTGCAAACCCTATTCAAAGACTGTCGACAGCCTGCAGCATTGCCATCTGCAAATGGGGCTCTGCTTCCTCATCAATGAGTAGTGATGTGAGGTCCAAGGGTTCATCTGAGGAGCTGCCTGCCCTGAACCATCTGCGTTGTGCTGTGGGAAATGACTGACCCTGTGAGGCCCCAAGGGTTTTCTACAAGGTGTTGAAGGGGCCCAATATGGGCTCAAGGATCATTTTGACACTGTCTTAGCTGAGAGCACAATCACATACACGTGTATCCATTCCTTTTGTGAGCTGGTGGGTAATAGAGTGAACCCTGAGCCATGGAAGCTGGATGGGCCAAGAGACAGCATATGGAGGGGTGAGCAATGGCCACTGGCTGCTTAAACACCACGGTGGGCATGATAAAAGAATATATTATCATAATAACACAGGGCTTGTCTATACAGCCTCACTCCCTGCACCCTACCCCGGGTCAAAATAAGCCCCACTCATTCCCACATAGAGACTGGGCAGACAGAGACAGCAAATCTGGTAGAGTGCATGGCTTGAGGCAGCCTAGGATCAGGCTCAGGGGCTACGTCTTGCGAGGACCTAAAAGCAGGGTGAAGAGTTGGGGATGCTCAGAGCTTTTCCCAACCTGTCTATTCTGGCTACCTGCCAGTCACTCTCACACACCTGATGGATACAACTGTGTGGGGCTTGTTTTGACACTGGTGGTCTTGGGGATGGGAGGGAGGGTGTGTAGACTTGGCCACAGTGGCCTTCAACCAGAAGAGCTCACTGAACTATACAGAGTGTGATTTTAGCTTCACAGGCTCCTTGTGTAGTAGAAGTATCCATAGCCATTTTACAGGCAGGATATGTGATTTACTCGAGGCCACACAGAAAGTCAGCGGCAGAATCAAAAACAGAACCCAGGAGTCCTGGCTCCTGATCCTGAGCAGCAACCACTAGGCAATGTCTGTAATTACCTGAGATAAAGTCAGTCCCATCCCGATGGGAGCAGCCTAACTGCAGAGGTCAAAAAAGAGGTAAATGTGGAGAGGCAGATTTGGGGCCATTCCTGCATGGAATTGGGTTGAACTGACCTCAGACAAATGCATTCCCTTCTCCACCACACTGAAATTGTCATCTATAAACTGCGTGTGGGTCTGATAGGAAATAGGAACTGCAGCCACAAGGCGAAGAACAGGTAAGTGGTTAGTCTCTGGGACATCATAGTGGTGCTAGACGGAGCCATGGAGTCCAATGGAGGTTGGCAATGAGGGATCTACCAAAAACTAATTTCCCCTTTCCAATAACTGCTACACTCCAGAAGGATTCCTTTCCCCAGAAAACCCAACTGAACACCATTTCAGCCACTACCTGAACACATCATGCTGCCAGAAGGCCCCCCCAATGGAAACATGCAGGGACCAAAACCACCTTTGACCTGCAAAGCCATCTATCTTGGAATCCTCTCTCCCCGGGAGCATCTGCATGAGATGCTAAATGCACAGTAGACTAATTCTCCTGAGCATTAGCGTCTCACGTCAAAAGTCATGCCATTGTGCTAATGCACAGTAGAATTCATCTACTGCACATTAGCATCACTAAAAAGGCGTGTGCTGGCACTACTGCGCAGTAGCGCCAGTTACTGCGCATTGAGTCAGTAGCTGTTATTACAGGTACTAAATTTAATGTGTCATAAGTACGGCACATTAATGCACATATAGACATGCCCCCACTGACTTAACTCTACTTTCTGAAGAAGTCCTAGTCATAAGACCCTACTATGGCTTTCATGCCCTGGAGGGAAGAAATCAGCCCCATGCCTGCTGTACCTACATTCAGAATGGGGGGGGAATGTCTTTGCTGCTTGCGTGGTGTCTGTTTCCTGATGGTTAACAAGAACACCGGATGCATATTCCTGGAAAGACGCCTGGAGACATAAGATTTTTGGTGCAAAGGACAACAGTATTTTCAAAAAAATGAGAATATGACTCCAAGTCCAGAGACACTGATGCCTCTCAAGTTTCTCTTCCATGAGAATGTTTATCAGGGAGGAGTAAAGCCTCCAGCCAAGGTCCGTTCTGCCCCTGGTCAGGAGCGCTGGTAGAGTTTCATGATATTTTCATCATGGAGTTTTTTCCATACCCTTCTCTCCAGATCGAAGTCATGGTTGGCGTAGAAGATCAAGCGTTTCCACACCTTGTCATAATAGTGATCCGAGTACTTGTTGTAGCCTTCTGTAATATAGCCATAGGCACTCACCTGGAAAAGGCAGGAGAATGCAATGTGACAGAGACTTTTGAAGCTGGAATGGGACAGACCCTTGAGGAATGGGAGAAACAAAGCTGGGAAAACAGAGGGGACCTTGCATGTGGGGAGGCAAGGAGCAGACAGGGTTCTGCCTGGTGGCAAAAGGACAAGGCACCTCCCACATTTCTATGTGCAGCTCTGAGAATTTCCACTGTCAATTTTTCACTGCTCTTCTTAGACCCACTTTCCTGAATGTTGGTGGCATTTCAAGGCTGCACAGCCAGCAAGAGACCACTGGTTGGCACATTTTTGCTGCTCCCCTCTTTCTCAGCCCACTCTCTCCCGCAGCTCACCAGGCTACTGTGGTCATTTCCCCACAGCTCAAGTGCACAGCTGTTCCCAAGTGGGTACATCTACATGAGATGCTGACTGCACAGTAGCTGAATAATACTGTTCAGTAGCACGTCACAGCATGGACAGCGCTAATACACTACTGCACAGTATTATCAGGCTGCTGCACAGTAGCATCACTTAAAAGATGTTTGCTGGCACTACTGTGTGGTAACTTTGTTACTGCACATTTATTTAGTACTTGCTTACGTAATCACTGTGCAGTAGGATCTCATGTAGACGCACCCAGTGTGCCTGTAATACAGTGCCTCATGTGGCTACTCTGGAGATTTCTGGCCCTGGTGTGTTTGCGAACAACCACTGGAGGATACTCCCACAGGGGCTCCTCTGCCACTTTTTGGGGGTTGGATCATGTGGATGAGTGAGCAGGGTAGGCTTCAGAGCATGCTTGGTATGACATACTGAGAACAGGGTGCAGACATAGCCTCAGAGAGCCTTTTCTGGGGAATCTCACATGAGCTAATGTTTCATAGTTGGTGGGGTCGGAAGGGACCTGAGCAGATCATCAAGTCCGACCCCCTGCCATGGGCAGGAAAGAGTACTGGGGTCAAATGACCCCAGCAAGGTGGCTATCCATCCTCCTCTTAAAGACCCCCAGGGGAGGAGCGAGGACCACTTCCCTTGGAAGTTGGTTCCAGATCCTAGCCGCCCTGACTGTAAAATACTGCCTCCTGATATTCAACCTGAATCTGCTCTCTGTCAGCTTATGGCCATTGTTCCTTGTTACTCCCGGTAGTGCTCGGGAGAACAGGGACTCTCCCACTGCCTGCTGGTCTCCCCTGGCCAGTTTATAGATGGCCACCAGATCCCCTCTCAGCCTTCTCTTGTGGAGGCTGAACAGGTTCAGATCCCGTAGCCTCTCCTCATAGGACCTGCCCTGCTGCCCCCTGGTCATGCGAGTGGCCCTCCTCTGGACCCTCTCCGTGCTGTCCACATCCCTCCTGAAGTGCGGTGCCCAGAACTGGACGCAGTACTCCAACTGGGGCCTGACCAGTGCCGCATAGAGGGGGAGGATCACCTCCTTGGACCTGCTCGTGATGCATCTGTGGATGCATGACAAGGTGCAGTTAGACTTACTGACTGCATCCCCACATTGGCGGCCCATGTTCATCTTTGAGTCAATAATGACTCCAAGATCCTTTTCTGCTTCTGCACTGACGAGAAGGGACTTCCCCAACCTGTAGGTCTGCTGCTGGTTCTTCCTCCCCAGGTGCAGCACCTTGCACTTGTCAGTGTTGAAACCCATCCTGTTCTCATCCGCCCACCTCTGTAACCTGTCCAGATCTGATTGCAGCTTGACCCTCCCCTCTAGCATGCCCAATTCCCCCCACATCTTAGTGTCATCTGCAAATTTGAACAAGGTGCTTTTCACCCCCTTGTCCTAGTCGCTGATGAAGATGTTGAACAGTGTGGGCCTGAGGACCGCACCCTGGGGGGACCCCACTGCCCACATCCCTCCAGGTCAAAAAAGACCTGTCTACCACCGCTCTCTGGGTGCGGCCCTCCAGCCAATTGGCAACCCATCTGACCATGTAGGGATCGACACCACAGTTGCCTAATTTTTTAATGAAAATGGGGTGAGAGGCATTGTCGAAGGCTTTTCTAAAGTCCAGAAAGACTACGTCCACCGCGTCGCCTGCGCCCAAGGATTTTGTGACCTGATCATAGAAGGCCACCAGGTTGGTCTGACAGGACCTGCCTCTGATGAACCCATGTTGGTTGCCCCTACGCATACATTCCCCTGCTGGCCCCTCACAGATGTGCTCCTGGATAATTTTCTTGAAGAGCTTCCCCAGGACCGAGGTAAGACTAACAGGCCTATAGTTTCCTGGGTCCTCCCTCCTCCGTTTTTTGAAAATGGGGACCACATTGGCCCTCTTCCAGTCCACTGGCACCTTGCCAGAGCACCACGAGTGCTCGTAAAGCTGTGCCAGACGACCCGCAATGGCCTCTGCTAGTTCTCTCAGCACTCTGGCATGGAGATTGTCAGGACCTGCTGATTTGAACACATCCAGTCCCACCAAGAAGTCCCTGACTAGGTCCACTCCAACCCTGGGCCTGGCTGCGCCTCCCCTGGGACCATCAGGGATCATGATGGGGGGGATGACCTGGTCCCTGCTCAGAAAAGTGGAGGCAAAGAAGTTGTTAAATAAGTTAGCTTTGTGATCAGAAGCATTCACTTGATCACCAATTTTAACCTTCCTCTTGAATCTAGGACTTTGTTCCTCAAAAGATAAGGAACAACAAGTATCTATGCCACTTATTATTATTATCAGGCCAAATCCTGATATTCTCTCTCTGTTTGCACTGAGTCAAAACCTCCATTGTGTGCATCTCCTCACCACACGTCTGAGAGCTAGCTATGATTTCCTATCTCCACTTTACAAATAAGGAAACTGGAGCAAAAAGTAAAGCATCCTTCATTTTTCATAGTGCCCAGAAGGAAAGCTGAGATCCATCCCAACTCCAGGCAGCTTGTTGGGCTGACATGGTTAGGGCACAGCAGTGCCAACAGCACACAAGGGAATAATATGCTGAGCATCCTATCCAAGCACATTTGATTCTCCAGCCTAAAAGCAAAGTAGCCATTCACTGCTGGGTCAATAGGGGAGTGCCTTCTGCATGGGTTCAGAGCAAGAGCCTAAGTGACTTGCCCACGGCCAGCAAGGAAGTCAGTGCAGAGCCCTTACCCGGTCACAGAGATGGAGGGCAGTCAGCAACAGGAAAGCACCAGTGGTGGGTCTGTAAATTCGCCAGTAGGGCATATTCAGAGTTTGGGATCTTAAAAACCTGCATAGAGACATAAGGAGAAGATGAACTCTCTGCACCTAGGATGGCTCAGCCTGCCTGCCTATTTCTGTTCTGCACAAACTCCCCCTGGGGGCTGCAAACATTTGGATGTCAATGCTGCCTGGATCATCCTCTCTGATAATCTGCGAAATGCACTGAGCTCAGTGCAATAGAAAGGCAACACATTTCAAATGGGGAAAAAGGCAGTGAAGGCCCTTTTCCTACTTCATCTTCATTTACATATGCAACCCACTTACTTTCTAAAAAGGATTAAGAAAGGTGATAGCAGCTGCAATAGCAAAGGTAGGAGTAAATAATGATCTAGTCTTGTGATTCAGGCAAAAGGGGGTGGGAGCAAACATTATAATTCCTTCCACTAAGGTATCGGCATTGGCCACTGTAACAGGCAGGATAGCAGACTGGACAGACAGGTCAGCCCCAATCTGCAATGTGGCTGCAGTGGAGTTCTGTCTAGGTGGGAGGAGGCCATCCACACTGATCAGGCTGCAGGGTTGTGGTTACTTCTATACTCTTCTCAGCAAGACAAAGTGGCTTGCAGTTATCCCATTCTGATCCCTCAGCTTCCTGAGGATGAAAACTGCCCTTGTACAGAGAGACAGCAAACTAGATCTATATCCCACCAAAGTCCTGC